AAATATGAAGTAATTTAATTGAACTAGAGGATAATATATAATTGTCCAATAAAAGTTTTTAGAAAAAGTACACTATTAAAAATTTTATTGAAAAAATTGTAACTTCTTGGTAAGAACTTAATTAGAAATGTTAAAATAAGAGAATTAATTAAGAAAACCTCCTTAGCAACAAAAAAATAAAATGAATACAGAATTAATGTTCATAAGCAAATATTAAAATAAGTTTAAAATTACATTGAAAATGTTTTAAAAAAAGTAATCTATGTTAAATGTAATAACTCATAGACATTTGTTAAATGAAAGAGAAAAACCCATAACTAATCAACTTTAGACTCATATTTGATAATGAGATATTATTTTGTATATAAATTGACTGTTTATTTAAGAACATTTTTGGTTGTTGTTGTCATTTTCTTTATAAAGAAACGAATTAGTAAGAACCCCATTCGGTCCATAGTATTATTACCTCTGAAAACGAAGTTTCACTTAACGAAGTAAATTCTATTAGTTAATTGAATAAAAAATATTTTGTGAATTTATTTTTTATTGAATTAATAGTCGAAATTACTCAATTAGTAAAAAAAACTACTTTAGATATAAAATATGATCTAGATTCAAGAGTTTAAACGATGTGAACCATTGGTACGTACAAATTATTTCAATTTTAATAGCAGAATGAAGACTTCTATTAAAATACATAAGCTTACAAATGTTATTTTTTTATTACTAAAAAAAAAATATTTATCTAAAATCATTCGTTGGTTAATGAAAACAGAGTAAATGTAAATATGATAAATATTTCTTGTGTTACAACTATTTTCGCGGAAGAAACACATGCATAGTACATGCAGCTAAACCTCAGATTTTCGATTCCGATAATGAGATTACGGAACGGAAGATAATGAGAGCACTTAGAGAGCCATGAAAGACAAAAAGCAGTTGGAGCGAATGGCGTCTGCAGGAAGCGTGAAAGAATAATTCTGGTGAACGTAAGTCGTGCTTATACCAAGAAACGACTGCATTTTCAAAGAATCGGCAACAAAACAAACACTTAATTATTTGCTCAATGTATGATTCATTATAAGATTTACATCATGATTTTTCGAAAATTGTCGTGAATACATAATAAATAATCAAAAAAACGCAAATAATAATTTCTATTTTTATAAAATGATTTTAAAATGTTTGCAAAACTTTCGTATTTCATGATAACTACAAATACACAAATCTTTCGTCAAGTTTAATTAATTCTCAACTTTAAAATGATTTACATTATTTTCATATAAGTTTAATAAACTTCATAAAAGTCAAATTTTACTTCAAGTTTAATTGAATCACGATTATCTTACGATGTTTTACAGAATAACTGATATGATAGTAATCAGTTAAGTTTAACATTCAATAAATTTGTATTACATAATAATCTTCAAAAAGTACGAAGTATATTAAATTTATGCATGAGAGAAATTTGCAGGTAGTGTAAAATAAATATGACTCACAATGCAAAGTATATGCAAACTGATTTAGGAAATGGAGGTCATATAATTTATTAAATTATTTTCGGTATAGTGTATTTATAATTGATCGAGAAAGGAGGAAATTGAAGGAAACCTTTTTTTTATTTCAATGATGTAATATATGGATTAATGTCAAATTAATGTTAGTATCTATTTTAAAGCCGAGAACAGCAAATAACCAAAAATAAGTTGTTTGAAAGCGTTTAAGGATATCCGACCAAACAATCTAATAATAAATAAAGTCTTGAATTTTCAACTTTGAACGCGTATTACAGCAATATGGATAAGAGCACAGGAAATGTGAAATGTGAATGTAAATCAATGAAATGTGAAAACAGTGAGGCGTGCCTCACAGTTTGGAAAACGCTGGTTTAAACAATTTTTTTGACGTTGTTATGTAATGTTATTTAAATGAAAGCAATTTGTAATTTACGTTTAAATATAAATTATCTCACAAAAAATTGAATAATTAGTAGTATATATTATAATAATAATTACAAAATGTTTTGATCTTTACGGCTAAAAAAACTATGGACCAAATTCAAACCGGATTTTACATTATATTAATTAAAATTAATTTTAGTAACTACATATTATTATTATTTTCAAATTAATATTCTATACACAAACTATTAATGAACCTCCAAATCGTTTATTCAAGACCTTGCTAACCTAATTAACAAATTACTCAAAATCATTAAAAAAAATATTTTTAATTTGTTGGAATTAATTCCACTTCGAACACAAAAATGTATCATTAAACATTACAAATTAGATGAAACAATGAATATGAACCGAAAGTAAAAACAACGTTATTTAACATTGGAGAAAATCTTTGATTACGCATCGGTTCATAAAAAATTCAAAGGCTACCTTCAATTTCGATGCACATCCTGACTCATTTGACCATGGAATATTTTAAAATAGAAAAGTTAAATAACCTTTTTGTCGTCGCAAAATGAAGAGTACAGAAAGACACAAACATGTGATGCGAATGAATCATTCCAAATAATTAAAATGTTTAATAAATTACAAAAAAAAAAGTACTAAATACATATGTAATTTGCTAAAACTAATTGATTCAAAAGCGAAATGAGTCCGAGGTCTTCATGTCTAAATTTAGTTATTGATTTGATTTATACCATAAGGATTTTTTTGCTTTGCAAATGATGCATCAATCAGAATAAATATAAAATAATGATTCAGTATTATTTCTTAATAAGTATTGAGATATTTAATGAGGATTTTAATGCATGTAATTGAGATTCTGTTGCTTATTCAGTATAGTTTTTTTAAGTGGTTCTTATAAAAGATACAGAAAAGAAGTAATTCGAATATCGAAACCTTAGAAGGTAATAAAACATTAGATAAACTTACACTTTGGCCCCGTGCTTTTTAATTATAAATAATAAACTAAAATAAATAGCATTAGTAAATTAAAAAAATATAATAAATGTTGTACATTATGTTTTAAAAAATAAACCAATACAGGTATCTCCCGACTTATGAATTCCCGGACTTACGAACAAAAAGCTCTAGCTTGTTACAAGGAGATATATAGTGATAAAAAATTAACTATCCAAACAAAAATTGATAATATTTTTAATAAAATATAATATTTTTGGAATATGTACCATCTTTTTTGCTTCTTTTGTCGTTTTTTATTAAATACTTGTGATGTCTACATTGAAAAGTATTTGTAAGAATTTTGTTTATTTGAATCTAGTTTTTCAAAGTTATGCAGTCAGTAATACCAAATTTAACATATATAAAAGTAAAAACCACTATAAACTGTGATAATTATATTATGAAATTTTTCATATTACGAACAAATTCGACTTACGAACGACCATTTGGAACGGAACTAGTTCGTAAGTCGGGGGATACCTGTATTAATAAATATGATATATGATGAGCAAAATAGACAGTCTGGACAAATTGTTGCTGTATCATGTTATCATTTTTTTAATTTGAAAGTTAGAGTGAAAAAAAAAATATTTTTGACTAAATCAGATTAAATCTTAATTCAGTTATGTTATAGCCTGTAAAAATAAATAATATTTTGTACTAAAAAATATAAACTTTTGAATATACCTTCGAAATTTTTAGCTGTAATGTTAATTTATTTAAATAATATATTAAAAATATTTTATTATCATTTCTTTGCAAATATCATTAATTGGGAGTGATGCATATGTCTACAGATAACACAATAATAATTATTTTGATCTAATCTTTTTTATATTTATAACAATTGATTAATATATGAAAACTCACCGTTTTTGTTTTGTGTACTCTATGGAATTACGACACACCCATCTCGTTATCAAATCCACATGTAATAGCTTTCATTCTCGCCACGCAATTCTGAAGAAGAAAAAAAAACATTATTTATTATTAGCGATGAACTTGAAAACGCATACCCCAAAATAACTATCCTTGGACTGTTTTTTTAAAATGATTTATTTACATAATTAGTTTGAATCTATACTTTTCTTTTAATTACACTTAACAATAAACTGTCCCAGTTGGTCAAAATTTAGATATATAATGGATAAAATTTTCAAATTTGACAGCGTATTACAGCAATATGGATAAGAGCACAGGAATGTATCTATACTTGCTGGATTCCCCAAACATTCATCTTTCATATGCATATATTGGATTAATTCTATCTATTATAGTTTTCGAGTAAATCAATGAAATGTGAAAACACTGTTATTATTTCAATTTTGCAACTTTGAACGCGTATTACAGCAATATACAGTAAATCAATGAAATGTGAAAACACTGCTTTTTCAAACGTTCTTATTTTAATTTGTTTATTTATGATAAAACGTAAGTATTTTTAATTATAATACTAACAATATTCATTATAAGAGTCACAAATAGATAATTAAAAAATCGACATATAAGACATAAAAATGATCAATTGTTATAAAATCCTATTGACTATATTCATTATAAATGAAACGAATAAATGAAATTTATGTGAAAATAAACAATTTTTACCTAAGAAATGTATGGATCCATATATGCAGCACATCATACACGGTTTCATGGAAAAAGTTTCGACAGCTCTATGTTTCCATAAACAAATGAACTAAATAATTGTGACATAATTACACACGCATTATTGCCACAGCCAGAATAATAACATCTACACACACTTTTTTTTGTGTGTTATTGTTTCTGTTTTATAATGCACGTTAACAATTATTATTATTAATATATTAAATTATAAAAAAAAGACTCACAGTTTTCCTTGGATGAATATCCATTGATTTGCTGGTACTGTGTTAACGAGGATCCACAACCGAAAAGTGGTTTGCCCCAAATGTTTTGTTTACTGGGTCGTTGCCAGGACAACCAGCAAAACAAAATGTATATTGAAATTGATCAGAGCGTTTGTTATTTACATGGTGAAACCAAATATTTACTTGTTAAATAATTAATAATCTGTACATATTACTTCTTCAGTTATTTAAGTAAAATTGTTAAGAGATGGCAGAGAAAAGAAAATCGTTAAGCAGAGAAGAACAATTTGCGATGAAGCTTCGCGAAGAGGATGAATTAGTACGACTGAAACGTCAGGTATAATGAGGAGATGAGTGAAGGATTTTTTTTTAATGATGAGTTTTAATAGTTAAGGATTATGGCGCACGATAGAGCAGCGATGGAAGCGTCCAGTAACCAAACTACCCAACAAAAGAAGATGTTAAATTTATACCGAAAGGAGGCGAACGATCTGCAAAATGAGCTGAAAACCATTGAGAATAAGAGGAGCGATGATGAAGTTAATATTAAGAAAATTCAACACCTTTTGAAGGAACATCTTGTGCTTGATGAGAGCATCAAGGAAATCAAGCAACATTTACGAGAATTTGACGCACAAGTAGATACGGTATAATCATTAAAACTTCTACTTCTACAAGTAACTTGTCAAGCTTCCAAAGTATTTAGATTAATTACTTGGCAATAGTTTGTTCATGAATGTAACAAATTATATTTAATTTTATCATTTTACAGGTGCAAAAGAAAATAAATATTCTAAGCAAAAATGCTCCATCGGATTCGACAATTCTGGACTTGAAAAGCAGCAAAGTTGAATCAGTGAAGAGACTGGAAAACCGTTTGAATTTGACAGTTACGCAATTCTGCAGCATCCTGGCCGATAACAAAGCACGCCGCATACAAATGGCTTCATTGTTGCGTCAAAGGTAAAGGAAATCGAGAAATGAATTGATCGAAGTAAAGAGTAATCTTTCAGGCAAAGCTTCAATGAAACTTGGGAGAAATTGGTGAACGATCTTCACCTCGGCAAGAAGTTCATGTTGGATGTGATCGAGCAGACGACTCTCGCTTTCGATCAGCGCGAAGAGCTGATGGAAAAGTTGCGAGTTTTGAAATACAAAGCTCAGAATAAGGTCTCATCGCACGTAGAGGAAATGACTCAATTGAAAAGGCAGTTGGATCATCAAACGAATCTGGGGGAATTTTTGGATTCGAAGAGCAGAAAACGAATAATGGTTGATTTGGTTCGTAAAGAGAAGGAGCAGAAAGAGCAGAGCAAAATCATGCTTGAACAAGAGTTGGTGCATTATGCAGATACATTTAAGAAAATCAAAGTACTATAAAACATAACGGTTTTTGAGTGATTGCGGTTAAACTGTTTATTTTTTTTAGGAATTCACAGGTGAAGAAGATATTGATAAAATCAAGAGTCAATTTCTGAAGAGCGAAGAAGAAAACTACGCTCTTTTCAATTACGCTAACGCTTTGAACACTGAATTGGAATCAATCTCTAGCAACATTGCTGATTATCAATCTACAATTGGTATATATTTTTTTACTACATTGATGCATGAAGATGACTATTTAAAACTATATCAATATTATTTCAGATGAACAAAGAAATATTAGCGAGTCTAGGAAGCATCAAGAAAAGCATAATTTTGACGCTCTCAAAGAAGAGTTACTTCATCAGCAATCTATGGTGATTAGTGATTTTCTTTATTTTTTTAGTCTATTTAATAACATGTTTTAGGTTTCAAAAGCAGATTTGTCGTTAAATACAAAGAAGATTGAATTGAAGCGAATTATTGATGGCATCGAGCATATTTTTAAATTAATCAGTAAGGAAAATGCAGCGCCTCTATTGGAACTTTTAGGTATGTCTTATTCATTTTTTTCAAATTATTTTTATATAAACAAAAAATCTCTGTCAATTATAAATTAGATTGATAGCGATCTTAACATTTTAGTCAATTTTAAAATCTTTATACAGCCATAAAATCGCATAGCTTTAAAATCGACTCCACCAATAATCCGGACTGTTTGAAACCGGACCAATAAAGGAAGCAAATAAATGATAAAAATAAATGGTACAAAAAGAGACTTTACTGTTTAAAATGGTTTTAAAACATTGCTTTTTAATAATTATTTTTTGTATAGATAGTATATCAAGTATAGATATATTTATACTTGTTGGATTCCCCAAACATTCAGCTTTTATATGCATTTTTTAGATTCATTCTATCTATTATAGTTTTCGAGTAAATCAATAAAATCTAAAAACACTGCTTTTTCGAGGATTTTTTAAACTTTGAACACGAATTACATTACAATTACAAATATGAAAAGTTTAAATATCTAACTTTAATTAGAGTTCATATGTACGGTGCATTTTTGCGAACTACCCGAGTACGCTTCGACTATGTGGTATAAAAGCGAGCGCTATCGAGAAGTTCATAACTCTCGCTGTTTACTCACTGACAATCACAACTAGTATCTATCATGTTGAACGCTGTAAAATACTACAAATAAATTGAAGAACTTCAAGTAATCTTAGATACAAACGATTTTATATTTGATGGAGTCGAATCGGAAGAAGAGGATGTACTGTACATCGATGATGAGCCGAACGAGAAAGTGACCATGATAATACTGAATTCAGTATTACTAAGTCTGAGCCTGATCCAATTGAAGTGATCGAAAATATTGAAGATTATGTAAATGAAAATCATGAAAATTGGGTATTTTTGCTTCCATTTTTCACTTAAGAATAAAAGTATAATAGTATATTCTCAAGTTTTTTTTAGTTTGGCCGCACTACAAAATTCATTTCTTCGACTAGCGCTATCGATAAGTTCATTACTTTCACTGTTTACTCAACGACGATAACAACTAGTATTTATCATGATGAACACTGTAACTTATTATAAACAAATTGAAGAGCTTCAAATAACATTAGCTGCAAATGAGTTGATGTTTGAAGGAGTGGAATCAGAAGACGAGGATGCACTGTATATAGATGAAGAGACGAATGAGAAAAACGTAAGAAACACCAATAATACTCAATCAAGTATTGCTAAGCTTGCGTCAATGGAAACTATTGAAGATTATGTATTTCAGGATCTTCAGCGTAAAACCATTTTTTCAAAATCCATTCTCCAATCTCATTTGTGAATTGGTTTTAAACAATCCACCGACGCAAACTTAAATTAATATGAAATGTTCCGAGTTTGAGAAACAGAATATTAATAAAGTACGCGGTCGTCCATCCAGGAGATCGTTGAGGATACAGCGCCAAATGCAAGTGCAAGTGTGCAAGAGGAAGAGCGCGGATGATAGCAGTGAAATACCGGCAAAAAGGAGATCATCAAGGATCGCGCAGAAATTACAACAAAATAAATAGGTAGACAGTTAAATTGAGGAGGAAGTAGTAACAATTATATGATAATGTGATAATCTTGGAATTTTAGAAAAAATTATAACCTGTTGTTTAATTATAATTGTATATATTTTAAATTAAAAGAAGAAGAAAAATATTATTTATTTCTTATCAAACTTCAAATAACCCATGATCATAACATATGTGTTTAGAAAATAAATTATTATTGTGCAAATCCTCAATTCAATCACTTTTTCTATGAAGATTGCTGAATTATTTTACAAGAAACGCGTTTCGTTAAATTCACAAAAGAAATTCTGTTTTAGCGCCAATGTAAATGGTGGCAACATCGTGCGTTGGAAAAAGAAACGCTTGGCTTAAACAAGATAAGCATGGATAAAAGAATTAATATGAGTTTATAAAGTGAAAAATATAATATTATTATTATTGTTAAATATAAATATAGTCGAATATAGTTTATTGTACACCCAGATAACTTGGTCGTTCGTCATAACAAATTCTTCAATATTTCATAAAAATATATTCAGAATAAAAACTGTGAATCATTGAAAATATCTATTTTTCAGGTGCTAATTTTATATTATCAACGAATTTGCTAATATCATTCATTTAGACATAAACTTCGCTTCAATTAAAATACTTTAAAAGTATTCTTTAAGAAAAACACCTTAAGCTGTTTGTTGCATTTTCGTTAGCATCATAAGCGGTTAGCAATACAAGAGACCACGACAATTGTAACAACAAAACCACTTAAGTAAATAAAACAACTTCTTTTTCGTAGCATTTTTTTTTTATTATATATATAAAACATTAAATTAATATGTACAAATGTTATCTATGTACAACATCTTTTGATTTTCTATGGGGTTGACGATTGTAGCGGTTGTGGTTACCGCTGCAGTTCTTTTCGCCTCTTCGGTAATTCTTTGGACGAGATCTGTGATCACTGTCTCAGTTTAGATTCAACGAAGATCTCCTTTGCACCACTTTCGATTGTATTGATGATACTTTGGGTTTCGGCTGGTTAAGACTTTCATACATGCCTTCCATCAGCATTGCTTTTATTTCCGCCTGCCTACTTAGAGGAGCTGTGGTGGATGTGATGGTTAAATCGTAAAATTATTTTGGAACATTTGCCGGTCTTCCTCCTTTCCTTATCTCCGGGTTCACCCATATTTAATGGTATATGAGTGAACCCGTACTGAAGGTTTATTTTCTTCAGTGCTGTTGCTGCTTCAATGTTTTCCGATCTGTTGGTCAACGAAGTTAACCTGAAGTTTGAAGAGCTGCTGTTCATATTATCCTGCAGACTTAAAAGCCTGGACTCCAACTCTTCCGGCTTGAAATGAGCTGGAGTCGGAGAAGCGTTGAGTGCATTCGACGGATGCATCTCTGGAGCTGGCCGACGAAGTACTACTCGAAGATGATTTGCTTGAAGACGAGCTACTGCTTGAAGATGAGCTGCTGCTGCTACTTAAACTGCTAGATGATGTATTAGACATGATGCTCAACTGCTAAATGAATACCTTCGATTTGCAAGCACCTCCTTTTATACTCGAAAATTCCACTGATAAAAATTCAATTATTAATAAAAAACCAATAGTGAACTAAAAATTGGAATTTACTAAAATTGAATAAAACATTCACGAAATAATACATTTTAAAACTGAACATTTTCAATAATTCAATTGATAATTATTTATTCAAATATTAACAATTTTTTTGATAATATCAAAAATAAAATAATTGAATTGTTTTTCAATAATAAAAATGATAGAAATTAATAAATAATATGAATTTACTAAAACAAAAGTGTTGTCTGAAACTGTCAAGAATTCAAACATTTGTTAACTGCAAATTTTCAATAGTTCAATTAATAATAATAATAATAATAAAACACGAAATAATATATTTTAAAACTGAACATTTTCAATAATTCAATTGATAATATTTAATCAAATATTAACAATTTTTTTGATAATATCAAAAAGAAAATAATTGAATTGTTTTTCAATAATAAAAATGATACAAATTAATAAA